ATCCTGAAAACTGGTTAATAATTTCATTCTCACAATTCTTTGCTGGTCCCCACCCCGGGGGTGGGGGGTGGGGGCGGTGTTGAGAACTAAGTAACAAGTGTAGGTAAAATAAAGTGCATCTAGCACAGAAGAAAAGGGAGCAAACTCATTTTAAATTTTAAGTATGAAAATGATAGTAAAGATCAGCAGCTACACGGACCTCCTTTGCAGTCCCTTTTAAATATCCTGACACTGTTTGTTCACGTTACCCTTGTTTCACCTGACATCAAGCCCTGGCATTGAAGGTCGGCTGCTGCGTCCACAGTGATGTGCCTCTAACAAACACTCTGAACCAAAAGTTAGCTGGAAAAAATATTCCCTGATAAATATTCAGTGAAAGAAAATGTGAGAAGAAGCAAACAGAAAATGAAAACAGGCCAGCTTTCCCAAGCAAGAGGAAGGGTAGATGTCTTCGGAGAGTTGAGCTGCTTTCCAGGGGGAAGTCACAGCAAAGCTGGCCGGCCAGTTTCCCCTGCAGAGCTAGGATTTACATTTTATCCACACCAGGAGCTGATGGATGAAACTGCACCACCACACAGTATGGTGCTTTCTGGCACGTGTTTCTCACAGCAGTAGCATTTAGCCGGCAGGATAAGAGTGGGGGGTGGAAGTGGGAGTAATAAGCAAAGCCACTAAGTCTGAGAAAGATAAAGCGGCTTGCTCAAGACCAAACAGCCGAAAAAGGGCGATGTGTGGATGCGGCTCCACACCGTGTGCTTTTAGTAGAGATCACAAGAGAGAACCATGTTGGGGTTCTGCAAAACTCCATCTTTAACTTCTAGGAAAGGCTTTCCCCTGTGTTGACACTTGAAGTTAAAAGACCAATTGACTGGAGTGTGCCACCATAATTAACTGCTAACCTTTCAAGAATAATTCATTATTTGGGGTGGCAGGCACTAATTCTATGATCGACAGCAGGTTTATGATCAGAAAATAAAAATTCCTACAAGAAGCCTGCATCATGGCATCAAGAGTAAACGCCTCACACCCTTCCCCTTTCTCTCCCTTACCATCCACATCATAAAAACGTCCCAAGGTACAGCTCTGAAGGGGTAAAACAAAAAAAGCACCCCAGTGCCCAACACAGAACTCAATCACAGTATTTCAGTACCAGATCTGCCAGTCCAACCTCCCAGCAAAGCCTGACAAAAACGGGTTTGATCTGCTTACAATGACCTGATCAACACAAAGATGGACTAGAAACTAGAAACTTGAGGACATATGATGGAATAAACTTCTTCCTACAAACAGCTTCCTTCTCTCTCCCCCAACACAGTAAGCTAGGCAGAACACAAAACACAATGACAATCACTTCCATATGGATGTTCGTCCCTGTCAGTAATAACTATAGCTCAAGACTGTTGAGTGTACTTAAGAGTTAACTTTAAGAGGAGCACTGAAGGCCAAGCTTGCCCAGGAAACTTGGTCAGGGATATTTATACCCACAATCTTTAAGTTTGATCAGGTAAACAGTTCTAAAACATATCTACTCTATTTGGTACTTTAAACATTCTAAACTAAGTTGGTACAACTGACTTTAATCACTGCTTCCTTCTGTAAATAGTGGCATTTGGAAAGGCAAGTGAGTGGCATGCTTAAGTCTCTGAATTGTGTATTCTGCTAACACCCGGTCCAGTTCTATCTTGAGCAAACCTGAGAAACATCATAAAGCCATACATATTATTTTCAAGGCCAACATAAAAAGGAGACGTTAAACTGACTGTAACTTAGATGATATGGTGGTTTAAATAAGAATGGCCCCCATAGGCTTGTAGATTTGACTGTTTGGTCACCAGGGAGTGACACTATTTGAAGAGTTTTAGGAGGTATAGCCTTGCTGGAGGAAGTATGTCACTGGGGGTAGGCTTTGAGGTTTCAGAAGCCAAAGCCAGACCCAGAGTCCCTCTTTTCCTGTTGCCTGTGGATCCAGATGTAAAACTTTCAGCTACTTCTCCAGTATCATGTCTACCTACATGCTGCCATGCTTCCCACCAGGATGACAATGATCTAAACCTTTGAAACTGTAAGCCAGCCCCAATCAAATGCTTTCCTTTGTAAGAGTTGTCACAGTCATGGTGTCTCTTCACAGCCAAACGAACACTGACTAAGATACATATACTATGGCTAGTACTGAAAACAATCCATCTCTTGTCATTTCCCAAACTACACAGCTGTACAGAATTCTTTCCTACCAAGCCACCTGGAGTCCCACGCAGAAGGCGGCTAACAGGTGATGAAACAGTATAGTTTCTATCATCCTTCAGTTCAAATGACATCTTTTAAAATTTTATATTCATCTGTGAGTTTAGCGTGGGTGTTAAGTGTCACAGTGTGAATGTGGAGGTCAGAGGACAACTTTCAGGAGTTGGTTCTCTCCTTCTACTATGTGGGGTTCTGGGAAGCTGAACTGGTCGGTAAAGACACTTGCCATCAGGTTGGGTGGCAAGTGTCTTTACGGACTGATAATCTGTCCAGAAACATCTTAAAAATACTTTTTAAAGTCATGTAAAGCGTATCAAAATTATCAGTTTAGCCACCTACACAGTATCGGACAGTGTACTAAGTTCCTTATACTGTTTCCAGCATTCCTAAGAACATGCAATGTCACTACTACCCCTTACAAGGAAACAAACTCAAAGGTTAAGGGAGATGCTCAAGGCTTCAAAACGAGACAAAGAAAAAGTAAGGCTCCGAACTCAAATTCACAGAACTCCAAAAAGTGAATTTCTTCTAAACTGTGCTCCCTCCCAATTTCACAATAAAAGAACGGGAAGAGCTATGAATGAATTTGTTCAGCAGTTCCATAGTCTCAACAAGGGGGAGTGTGAGGGATGGATTTCTAAACTGCAATCTTTTTTTGGAAGTCCGCAGTGTACCATCCAAACCCCACTTATCTTCAAGAACAAATCAACAAACTGAAGAGTTTTTAAAGCTGGGGGAAAGTGATACAAACCAGTTATCTAGTCCTAAAGAAACTGAGGCAGGGAAGCCTTAAGTTCAAAGTCAGCCTATACTACAAGGCAAGCGGTGACTCAAAAAGAGAGAGAGAAAAGCTAGGCCTTTAATTCCAGCACTCCAGAGCCAGGTGGATCTCTGTGAGTTCAAGACCAGCCTGGGCTACATAGCAAGACCCGATCTCAAAAAAAAAAAAGAGAGAAGACTTAGCAAATTCGCCTAAACTTCACCACAGATGTGCAAACTAATTATCATTTTGTACAAGGCCCAAGAATTAATGAGTCTCTCCTGTGCAAAGTTTCAGTAGCTGGTAAAAATCGCTTCACCCAAATCAAACGAAAACTGAATGCCAACCGTGTGTAGCGACTCGTCTGGCAAAGGTAGTACATAGCAAAATACTGCCCATCACAGTCCTTAAGAAGGGAAAGGGCCAGGAAAGACCATTTATACTACACACAGTCTCCATTTAGTGGAGCAAGTTAAATTCTAAGAAACCCTAAAACAAAAGGATGAATTGTCACGTTATCACAATCTAGGAAAGGAAAGCAACTGATGTCCTGGTCCCTCGATTTTGTAGGCAAGTATGTTTGTATTATGTAACTCCCTAATAACTTCCAACTCCTGTCTACCTCCTTCACCACACCCACCCAGGAAAGGAAAATTAAGCACAAAGATTCTGAGTCCTGGATTCCTTTGACTTAAGGATATTTTCCCTTGGTTTCATCAGGTAAACAACGCTGGATTTCAAGTAAAGAAAAGCCAAACAAACCAGAAAACCCAAGCAACACTTCTCCACCTTCTTCACATAGAAAACAAAGCAAAAATACCATTTGCAGTATTTTTCAAAGAAACTTTTTAACAGATGCCAAAGAGATACAACTGAAATTAACATGAAATGGCATGGTCATTGTGTTTCAATATGAATGATAGGATACTTAAGTTGGTTCCACTTGGGAACTAAAACAGAATTATCATCATAGTTCAGTCAACGAAATGCAGTGGAATGAATCCACTCAAAACTTAAGAAGGCAAGTGCTTAAAGCAGTTTGTAAAACCCCAAGAAATGCAGGTGTACGAAAGTGACACTGATTTATCTCAGATTCATCTCAACTCATGGGAACTCCTTTAGAGACAATGACCTTTCAAGAACTGGAGCGCTTCTCCTGACCCGGACAATCCAAAGGTTTAAAAAAAAAAATGAATAAGCGCCTTCAGGAAATAAAAGGGAATAAGGGGCTGGGGGAGGTAACCCAAAAAGGCACATCAATTTGGCAATGAACTCTCAAAAATAACTTCATTATGGAGTGGAAAAGCAAAGACCGAATACTAAACTGTTGCTCAATCCCATTTTCATTGTGAATTCCTGAATCACAGTAGCGTCTAGCAACTTAATGGGACCCAATCTTTCGGCTGTAAGATGGGGTGGGAATGGGGGCATACACTTTCTCAACGAGAAGAAAACTGAGGGTTTTCTCCCCCATCGACAGTTTCATGCGTCTCGCGAGTCCTAGTTAGCAAAAGCGGCGAGCGGCTGGCTGCACCAGGGCTCGGTGGCTGCGGAGCCGAATGCACGGTTCCCGGAGCGTCGGCCGCGCCCCTCCGGGAGAAAGCGCCCAAGAAGCCCCCGAAGGCGGCCGGGGCGCGCAGTGTTTACCCTGCTCGACTGCCCCGGGGAGCTCGTTCCCGTGGCCACAGACTGTCGGGGCGCCGCGCCCCACCGAGCAGCCGTCCCTCAAGAGGAAAGCCCCAGCAGGAGCCACTGAAGCGGGCAGCCGGAGAACGCGGATCGAGGAGGCTGGGATCGGCGGCCGCGCCACCCACCCCCGGGCCGCGGATGCTACGGGAGGAGGGTCCGCCACCCGCGTCGAGCCCGCGCGCCCCCGACTCCCGCAGCTTCGCGCGCGCGGCCGAGGGCAGCCGAGGGGGAGGGGCGGCTGCGCGCGCGCCCCCTCCTCAAGACGCCCAAAAAACTTCCCTCAACTCCCGCAACTAAGTTGCGCTCTCACCGTGCGGCTCCCCGGGCTCCCCCGCGGGCCGAGCCGGAGCAGCTCCGCGCCTTGGCGGCGGAGAAGGACAATAGGCGGCCGCTCCCTCGGCGGCGGCGGCGGCGGCTGGGGCGAGGAGCAAGCACCGCGGTGTCGACCGAGCCCAAACACTTAGCAGCGGCTGCTCCGGCTCCGCGACCGCCCTGCACACAGCCCTGCCCACCCGCGCATGCGCGGCCTGCCGACTGGGAGTAGGCGGGGCCACCGGCCAAGCCTAAAAATTACTATTAGACCACTCGGCTGCCCATCACCCTGTGTGAGCCCAATAGCAAGACTTTCTGGCTGTTGGCTCCGGTTGCTAAGGAACGATGAGGTTTGACCGCCACTGCTGCCAGGCGGCAAAGTGATCAAAGTCGGGTGGCTGGCAACAGCTGCTGGGGAAATGCCCACCCACCTTCTCCTATCCGCCCCATCTCCGGAAGCCGCCCATCCTCCGTGCGCCTGGTGCTTACCTAAGTCGGAGCACTCACTACACATTGACAAAACGTGCTCTTATGTTTCGCTTCCAACCAAGAAATGAGGTCTTCTTAGTGCCCAAGGTGGAGCGACGCTAGGTACTCAACAAGTGCGTTGGATGGGTGAACGGCCCCTTGGCCGGATGAAGATTATCGCAGTGTGTCTTGTAACTTTGAGCTACTCCATCACCACAAAACCATTGCCTTTGAGTTGCCATGGGCTTCAGAAAGTGGCTTCGGAAAAACAAAGTATGGACAACGGTGACCAAGAGAGTATATTAATTGGTACAAGAAGAAACTTCTCTCTAATAGTAACATAGTGTAGTGTGTTATTAAGGGAAAACACGCCTATCATGCCAAGCCATTTTGAAAGATGTTATTTCTTAGGTCAATAGAAAGTTGGAAAAAGGCCGCGAGGGAGGGTACAAATATTAAGCAAGAAACGTGAGGTTTTCTGTGCAGCTCAAAATAATTTATATTATTGAAATAAGAACAGTGGTTTCCAGGGGGAGAAGGGTATTGACTGAGAAGGAACAGGACAGAGTCTCTGAAGTATTGGCTCTGTATTTTGATCTAAGTGATAAAAACTTAGGAATATGAAAACATCACGCAGCCCTAAGATGAATGTCACTTTGGAGGGCAGGGCTTATGAGGAGCTATTGACAGTTGACTGCTGCTAGGGAAGGGAGAGTCAGTTTCCTTTAAGGATTGGACCCTCTTTGGTCAACTGTGCGGCAGTGGGTGGCTCTACACCCGTGCATATATATATGGGCAGCACAGATTGAACACAGCGAATTATAATTAAAAATAAAATAAGAAATTAAGAGAGATAGGGTAGGTGAATATGACCAAAATATATTATGTGACTGTATGAAATTTTCAAAGAATTATATGGAAAGATTAATCTAAATCTAATCTAGTCAGTTTAAAAAAAAATACTGGTACAAGACATGGACCTGCAAAAATGAAAATCACTGCCATTTGGGAAATTTTAATTCAGTCAAGCTCACTACTATCACCCATATATCTAACAGAGGGTATTATGAGTGCTCGATGATTGTACCAGGCATTTCTCTTATTAAATGGTGCTCTCCTTTTTAAAAACTTTTTTAATTGAAAAAAATCTTCATACAATATATTTGTATCATATTTCCCTCTCCCCCAATTCCTCCTATATCCTCCCCACCTCCCTATCCACCCAACTTTATGTTCTTTTTTCTCTTTCAAAAAACAAAACAAACCGGGCGGTGGTGGCACATGCCTTTAATTCCAGCACTCGGGAGGCAGAGCCAGGCAGATCTCTGTGAGTTCGAGGCCAGCCTGGTCTACAAAGTGAGTTCCAGGAAGGGCGCAAAGCTACACAGAGAAACCCTGTCTCGAAAAACCAAAAAAAAAAAAAAAAAGTAAAAAGTAAGAAACACAAAAATGGAAATCAAACCATCAAAACACAAATAAGATCCACCACCACCACCACCCAAAAAAAAAAAAAGCCAAAACAAAGCAAAATAGGAGCCCATGACCATACACCCCCTCAGTGCTGGAACTACTTTTGGCTTGAACCCGTGAAAATCTTGTGTGCTGCCAGTCTGCATGAGTTCATATGTACATCAGTCCTATTGTGCCTGGAAGTCACTGTTTCCTTGGAGTCATCCATCACCTCTGACTCTTACAATGTTTCTGCCTCCTCTTCCTCATACCTCCCTAAGCCTTGTGGGGAGGAGTTCGATCAAAACATCCTATTTAGGACTGAATGTTCCAATGTCTGTCACTTTCTTCACATTGTGCACTTGCAGATCTCTGTGTTAACTCCCATCTACTACAAGAAGCTTCTCTGATGTGGGTTGGGCAAGGCAATGATCTATGAGTATAGCCAGATGTCACTAGGGGTCATTTTATTGCTGTGTTCCTTTATCAGAATAATAATAGTAGGTTTCCCCTAGGCCCATTACATAACAGTTTGAGGCTCTTAGCCATTTTAGCAGTGTAGATATGAGTTCCATCTCGTGGAATCACAAAGCGGTTGGCTGCTCCTATAACATTTGTGCCACTATTAAACTAGTATGTCATACAGGCAGGTCACTCGTCAGTCATAGGTTTTATAGCTGGGTAATATTGATGATTACCTTTCTCTTATGGTTTTTATAGCTGGGTAATATTGATGATTACCTTTCTCTTATGGTATCATGGAGAGTATCTTAGTACCATGACAGCTAATCAGTAAAGGTAAAGCTTCTAATTAGACACTAGCTAAGCTCTTCCATGTTTGATGATAGAAGTAAATGTTATCTTCAGCAATAGAGCCTTACTGTCAGGTTATGGAGAGTAATCAGTAGCACTGAAAATAGCTTGTGATGTGTGGGGGGTTCCATGGGGCCCCTTTGGCCAAGAGCTCAACAAGATATCACCCATTCCTGGCACTGGAGGTGTTACTTCATGGCATAAGATCTCTAGTTGTCTCCCCTATTATTTGGTAACTCTATTTAGATTCCTTTCACATATGTGTATATTTCAGGAAGCTTCTACAGTGGTAGGTCTCCACCCTGGTTTTCCAGAAGTCCTTTAATATTAGTTGTCCCTTCCCATAGTCCCTCCTTTACCCTTCTCTCTCATCCCCTCCCAATTTAATCCTCCTAGCTACCTCTTTGTCTCTCCATAACAAGGTATTCTATCTCTTCTTCCTTGGGAGAGCCTCTCCTTCCCCTAGTCCTGTACTTGGTATCTAACCTCTGTGGTTGTTTGGATTATAGGACACGTATTGAAAGCTTAAAAGCTAACGTCTAATATGAAAGAAAACATAATATTCATCTTTTGGGATCTCTGTTACCTCACTTGAGATGATTTTTTTTCTAGCTCTATCCATTTACCTGAGAATGTTATGATTTTTAATAGCTGAATAATATTCCATTGTGTAAATGTATCACATTTTCATTATGCATCAGTTGGTGAACATCCAAGCTATTTCCAGTTTCTGCATGAATACATCAGCAATGAACATGAATGAGCAAGTATTTCTGTAATAGGATGTAGAATCCTTTGGGTATATATCCAAGAATGGTTTAGCTGGATCTTGAGGTAGATTGATTTCTAGCTTCCTGGGAAACCACCACACTGATTTCCATAGTGGCTAGACAAGTTTGCACTCTACCCACAATAAATAAGTGTTACCCTTTCCCTGCACACTGACAGCAGGTGCTTTATTTTATTGATCTTGGCCATTCTGACTGGTATAAAATGAAATCTCAAAGTACTTTTAATTTGCATTTCCCTGATGGCTAAGGGTGTTGAACATGTCTTTCTCAGACATTTGTGTTTCATTTTTTGAGAGCTCTCTGCTTAGTTATGTACCCCACTTTTGAATTGGATTATTTGTTTTCTTGATGTCCAGTTTTTTCTTTATATATTTTAGATACTAATCCTCCATCAGATGTCTAATTGGTAAAAATCTTTTCCCATTCTATAGGCTGCTGCTTTGCCCAAATGATGGTGTCCTTTACCATATAGAAGTTTTTCAGCTTCATGAGGTCACATTTATTTACCAGTGTCCTGTACAGAAAGTCTTCCTCTGTGACAATAAGTTTAGGACTGTTTCTCCACTTTCTCTTCTGTCAAATTCGGGATACTGGATCTTACATTGAGGTCCTTGATCCATTTGGAGTTTCCTGCAGATTGATAGACAGGGGTCTATTTTCATTCTTCTACATGTAGCCGTCCAATTTGACTAGCACCGTTTGTTGAAGATGCTGTCTTTTCTCCAGTGTGTACTGTATAGTCAACACAATCTCTATCAAAATCTAATGCAATTCTTCACAGAAATCGAAAATAAAAATCTCCAACTTCATATGGAAACACACACACCAAAAAAACTCAGAATATATACAGCAATCTTGAACTTACTCTTTTTTTTATTAAGAATTGCTATTAGTAGGATAGCCGTTTTCACAATATTAATCCTACTGATCCATGAGCATGGAAGATAGTTCCATCTTCTGATGTCCTCTTCAATTTCTTCCTTCAACACCTTAAAGTGTTTATTATACAAGTCTTTCACTTTCTTGGTTGGAGTTATCCCGAGATCTTCTCTCTTTGTCTTTTTAATTGATTTAACTAAGGTTTTGTCAATCTTACTATTTTCTTCAAGCTTCGGAAACCAATTCTTTGTTTCTTCATTGAGTCTTTGTATTTTTTTGTTGTGGTTTTTGCTCTTTTGGAGGGCCCACCACCCAGCTCCCAAATAAATCACACACAGAGGCTTATTCTTAATTATAAAAGCCCAGCCTTAGCTTGGCATGTTGCTAGCCAGCTTTTTTTAACTTAAATTATCCCATCTACCTTTTGCCTCTGGGCTTCTTCCTTGTCCTACTCCTGTAATCTCACTGTCACTCTTACTCCATGGCTGGCTGGGTGGCTGGGAGGCTGGGTGGCTGGGTGGCTGGGTGGCTGAGTGGCTGGGTGACTGAGTGGCTGGGTGGCTGGGTGGCTGAGTGGCTGGGTGGCTGGGTGGCTGGCCCCTGGTGTCCTCCTCCTTCTTCTCTTGCTCCTTCTTCTTTCTCTCCCAGGTTTCTCCTTCTATTTATTCTCTCTGCCTGCCAGCCTTGCCTATCCTTTCTCCTGCCTTGCTATTGGTCATTCAGCTCTTTATTAGACCATCAGGTGTTTTAGACAGGCACAGTATCA